ATCTGATTTCCGTGCTTTGGACGTGCTATATTTCGTGCAGTCATGTGCAATCACGTGTAAAAATTTCTTATAGGGATTTGGATCGACGAAATTAGCCAATTAGAAGACCTCGAGATTACATAATTATAGGACTAGTTTCGGACTTGTCCTGAACTGTCCCTCAAAAGTCCAGTCCCAAACACGGTCCACCGTGGACCACTTAACATCCCTAACTAAAGCTATTCACTATTTTCGTTAATGTTAGTTAATCCATTGTTGCCCAAATGATTTGTTATTGTGATTGTTGATTATTTATTATATTGTTTATAACGATAACTAGAGTATAAAAGTTAATAATTGGATTTTCAAAAAAAAAAAAAAACTTCACCTCAAAGTGGAATCAAAAAAAAGGAAAAAAAGTTTGATAGTGAGTTTAACTTTATATTAAAATGACTCAAGAATAATTAATGGCTAAGATAATTACGTATCATGTGTTACTTGGTCAACTTTTCTTTTGATCTTATTAGCACATACTCACAAATGTGATTAAATAATAGTTCGAGTATTTAAGTACATGAAGGATATGATTTTTTATAATAGTTGGGCTACAGGTGTTGTAAGTAGGAACGGAATTTAAGTGGATTTGAAATTTCTTAGTAAAATTACAATTTTAGGTAATTTTAGGTAATTTTAGGGTAGAATTTATTTTAGAGTGTTGCTATTTGACGCCTGGGCAAATTTGCTTGAAACTAAAAAAAGGAAATTTTTCTGTGTAGATCTCAAGATCAGGTCAATCTTTGTGTAACGCGAATCGAAGGCTTTTTCAAAGCATCACCGATAACTCAAAATCTTGCCTAAGATATCACCTTTTACGTTCTAATTAAAAAAATTCCTGACCAAATTTTACTAATATTTCCTTCCTTATCCCAAACCTAAACCTAAACCTAACCCTAACGCTGGTCAAATTTCACAAATAAGTAAATCCGGGTAAATTTGCCCAGGCGTCAAATAGATTTTCTCTTTATTTTATACGTATAAACCTACACCCTAACCCAAATCCACTTAAATTCCGTTACTACTTACAGCAATAACACATGAATATCACAACGTTAGAATTAAGGTTAGGTTATGACGTATATATATATTGTAAATGGTAATTTCTTAGTTAAAGTTTTGTGTTACGGTGAAATCTCATACTCACATCCTGGATAAGAAATTTTGTTTGTACTTGCGTACGTATGTGCGCACGCATGCTACTAGGCAGCGGGTTTCCCACGATTTATACATCTCTCATCGCGGTTATTTTAAATCTTAACTTTAAAACTATACGACTAACGTGCAGATTTTCAAATTATACAGATATGCAGAATTCGAAATTGTTATTAAATGTCCGAAATATCTTCAAAACTTTGCAATTATTTAATTATTTCGAATTCTATAGATCTGTAGTATTTGAAAATATATAATTAATCAGATATATTTTTTCTTTAGAATTTTGAATATATATATATATATATTAAAAGAATTTTTTTTTTGTACGAATATCTATGTTGTGTATCCTGATACCGCATGATACAATAAATGTTCAACAAAATTTGTCAGAATTTTTTTTTTTCATGCAAAATACTAGTTTTAACGTTAACGTCAAGCTATGCCCCAAAAGGAAATGTCCAAATTAATTTCAGGATTTGGTTACATAAAGCGTTTAAAGTGTCATGTGGAACCGGGTAAAATTCACCACCTAAATCTATTTCAGATTATGTGATATGATTCTCATTTCATTGGTCATTTTTTAAGTTAGAATATGATAAAACGATGCACATTAAAATTATATTACATGATCTGAAAAAGATTTGGGTGGTGAATTTTACCCGGTTGTCATGTGGCATTAACTAACGCGGTAATTTAAAAATCATCGATTACTGCATATCCGCACGCTAGAATCGGAAATTTTATTATTTAGGCAATAACAATTTTATTACACAAGACTTACTTACGTATTCAATTAAGTAATGCCTATTATGGTATTACGAATTATGTTACTTGTAACGGTTTTTTCCTGCAGGTTCTCGCAAAGATAATGGTACATTAAAATTTTATTGTAAAATTGACTTTAAGTATTTCAAATAGCTTCAATACGAAACGATTCTAAATGACCGAACTTTTCAAGTCCTTTTAGCACGCTAAAATGTATTTTGAACAGTTTCATAAGAATTTCAAACCTCATTTAGAGTATCTAACAAATTCCGGGCTAGAAATTACAATCACAAATTATACTAATGAATCTATAACTTTCTATGAAAGATGATTGTATGATAATTCTACCAAATATTTGACTTGCGTTCATTAACTTCTACAATAGATAAATATTTGATTTGCGTTCATTAATACAATCCAAACGGCAAGTAAGCAACCATCCCGAATTTGGGATTTCTTGCTTAATTTATGAATGAAAGAGAGTCGTCTAAAGTCGGATAGTACGATCTATTTATTTTTGTATTATCATTGGATAGCGTTGTGACTGAATTTGCGACTGATCAACGATTGAATTTCTTAATTAATCGTTTCCTCACGTTCGGTGATTAGACTACATATTTTCAATTATTCTATAGCTATTTTACTTGTTTATCTTTAAAATAATAGCGTTAATGTTTATTTAAAATTACTGGGAATGCTTACGATACTCTCAGCCCACCATCAAATTTATGGTAAAATCCAAAAATAGAAATTTCCAAATGATGTAGATCGCGATAAAAAATCAGTCATATTAATCTTGTCGAAAGTTTAAATTACTACGCAAAAATCGTTAATTATGTATAGCTTGTATATAAGAATCTGGTTTTTTGTGATGCATGGATCGGGTATAGAAAATTTAATGGTACAATTTAGATTTTTGCCTTTAAAGAATGAATGCGCAAAACAAACATTCTTGAAAAGTAATTACCAAAGTTAGCCATTACTGAATTGGGGATAGACCCTACGAAACAAGTACTTAAAAGTCTTTTAAACCCTACCATACTTAAAAAAAATTTAACAAGCCTTCATACTGTATCATACTTAAAAAATTCTTTATATTATATCATACTTAAAAATTTCAATCGCCCATTTAATTATGGAGAAAGAAGCAGGACTTTGTAAAGATCCATGTGAAACGTCAATTAACGAGAATGAAGCAGGGCTTAATAAAGATCTACGCGAAACGTCTATAAAGCATAACAAAAAGAAAAGGAAAAGAGAGCCCCAAGAAATAATACCTCGGTACCTTATTAAAAACCAATACGACGCAACTAATAATATGCCTCAGGTTAAGCGAAGGCCTAGTTCTAAACAGAAATATGAGATTATAATTAAATTTGATAAAAATGGTAAGTGAAAACATCCAAATGAAACACGCTCTAATCGTAAACAAAAAGAAAAAGACTCAATGGATCTACCCCCTCAACCTTTGAATAAAGAGCAAGGAAATGTAATGGATCCACCCCCTCAATCTTCGAATGAAGAGCATGGAAACGTAATGGATCCATCCCCTCAACCTTCGAATGAAGAGCATGGAAACGTAATGGATCCATCCCCTCAACCTTCGAATGAAGAGCATGGAAACGTAATAGATTCGCCCAACTCACCACTTGGAGAAGATTCTCAATTTGCTGAACCAATGGTTATCCAAATCTCAGAGATGAATTATAGTAACGAATATCCTGCTCTATTTCAAGATATATATAGTATGTAAAGATATCTGAATTTTATTATTATCTGTTATTATTATTTGAATTATTATTTGAAATTATACTTACGTTTATGACACGTACGTACGTACGTGCATGCCGCATACAAACTTAGCACCAAACCCTTATCGTTATTATGAGTATTTTGGTATTCATTATTATTAATCATAGATTTTTATTCTCACATATATATTGATTAACGTCATCAAATTCATAATAATTATTTACGATATTGCAATAATAGTGTTATGAAGACTTTATGCCTAATTTTGATGTAATGGATAATATTTACTTTCGAGGAATCAAGCATTGACGGTTGTTTGTTAATATATGTGAAATGCTAATTACAATCTCTACATGTTTACATTGATAACCCACACCTCTGTATATATCCCTATATCGGTTCCGATCAATTCACCGACAATCATTTCACCGAACGCCGACATCGCATAGGGTTAGGGTTAAGCATTTGATTAGTTGCAGGTATTATATTTTTACTAAATTTCACCTGGCGTGATGTCGGCTAAATGAGCTGTCGGTAAAGTGAAATAATACAGACCCTGTATATTAAACAATGTTATCAGTGGAAGTAAAATCATTAGTGTCACTGGAACCTAAAGTTCCAGTAACACTATTGATTTTACTTCCAGTGACCTTCCAGTGACAGCAATGCTGTATATATATATGAGTTAAATTCCCGGCCACATACAATTGATTTTGTTTCATTAATTACGAGAATGTGTTTTTGTAAATTATTAACGATCTAGAACTAGATCAATAATATTGTGTAAAATTGTGTAAAATTAATGACGGTATAGTGTATTATTAATTTTACTGTAAAAATACTTTTCTTTTCGAAAAAAAATAAGTGGCAACTCAAAAATAGTTTAGTACGTAAATGTAAACATTATATTACATTTTATACGTAAATATATATTATTCTTGTGTTTATTATTATTTTTATGTATGTTTTTTTATTAAATCTCAGAGCAAAGAAAAAGCAAGAAAAATCTGTTGTTTTATATATTTTTTTTGTTCGTTTTAATAGTACGGAAATTTATCTCCGGATTTTCTTGGAAATTTATCTCCGGATTTTCTTGGAAATTCCATACTCCTTTACGTTTTTATTTCTTTGTTTAAAAAAAAAAGGGGTTAAAATGATGTTATAAGTTTGTACGTATGTAAATTATGCTGAGAAACAAAAGTTTATGGATTTAAAGTTACATTAGATCTTTCGTATTGGAAACTATTGACGTTGATAAATTTGATAATTGATAGACAAATTTCCCGAATGCTTTATCAATTTCTTAAAACATCCCAACTCCAACTCATGATTGTACTTTGAATTCTTATAAATTTGTTTTTAATTCTGCAAGTTACTCATACATTGTGAAGGTAGATGGCAATATATGCCTATTAGTTTTAGCATTGACACGGGATGAGCTTGCTCCAAATAACAGCAAAATAAAATTATTGTTATATCCAACACTAATACTTTAACATTTATCTTATTTATCTTATTTTAGGCTTTTTGACAGAGGCGTAACTATGGTGATTCTGCAAAATAAGTAATTTCAATAAAAACCGTGCTTATCAATTTGATCTTCAACTCATTCTATTAAATTGTTCCAGATCTTCCAAATTTAAACATATTTTTAAACCTACTCCACTTGGATTAGGAACAGCTTAAGAGTATGCTACTCCATTAACATCAATTTTAATATAGAGTCTCTAACATTTGGATTTCAGTACAATGGATCCCTTACAGCTTTAATTATGACTAGCTCTTTATTCCATAGTAACATTTATATTTAGGAATGCAAAACTTTATTTTAAGCATACTATAAAGCCCGAAGGTCTAGTCTTCTTACCACCTTTTATATCTTTCGGGGAAGAGAGGTAAATGTAGTAATATGGTTTAAAGATAATTTCTTTCTAAGAATTTCACATCAATTATTCTACAAATATTTATTAGTGTTCGGTATAGGAATATAGTAAATTGCTTCTATAAGGTATTTTTGTTATAAGAACCGTCAGTTCATTATAAGTTAACCGTACATAATTTGATTTTGTTCGTTTATTATTCATATTTTGACAAAAAATAAAGGCGATATTATGTGTAGAAATACATGAATATACGATAAACCAATAATTACAACTCATCACATTATAATGAAGTTCAAGGTGGGAAAAAATCTTCACTACAACTTATGTCGAGAGAATATTAGATATACTTTAATAATTCAAAATTCAAAATTCTTCATTATATCAAGAGATCACTATAGCAGGGTGAGTTGTATTTGGGCATAGTAGTTCTTCCCGTTATTTAACTTGTGATTATATTTTAGAACTCTACAATCTTTTGTAGCTTCGTTTGAATTATTTATTTGCGTTAATTTGGTTCATGAATGAAAATTCGTTTATTAATTCAATCACAGCAGAAGCTTACTATAACAAGCTTCTTTGTACATAATGAGTTTTGCAAGTATAACTTTTATATATTTGATAATTCAATGTTCATTTTAAATCTGTTCGCGGTTATTATTTAGTAATCAAGTTTTTATTTAGAATATATGGTTAACTATTTCTATATTTACTCTAATCTAATTGTAGTGGTTTCATCTCTTAAAAAACAATTAAGAAAGTTTTTCCTTCCAAAAAACTTCATATTCAAAAATAATAAAATAAAAGATTAATAAAGTACTAAAAATGAAGGTTGAAAAAAAATTTTGAATTCAAATTTTCCGGAGAATTGTAAGGTCAGAATATCATGTGACTGCGTCCTCGATTGGTGATAACGCGAGACTTTTATAAAGTAAGTGCATATGATTTATAAGATCAAAATTTGTATTTTTTATCGGGTTTACTAAAATGCACCATAGGTGTTGAACACCATAGTTGCTATATCTCAAAAACGTACTAGCTAACACATCTCTGGGGTATTAAGTAAAAATGTTCAGAACCTCCAAAACCTTATGCTAACTAAAATTTGGACCTTTATATCTAACCCCTATCTTACTCTAAAGTTGCACCCTAACCCTAAATTTTTGCCAAAAACATATTAACACCAACGACACCTATGGTGCATTTTATAATTACTGTTTTTTATTTACTTTCTTTATATTAACTTACCTAACATTAAATAAATAAAAATAAATTTTCGTTGAATTTTAGATTCTATCCTACAATTAGGGATGTTAACAGTCCGGTCTGGTTCAGTCTGGTCTATTTTGGTCCAGGTCTAGTCTGGTCTATTATGATCTTTATTCTTAAGACTTTGTTAATCCAGACCGGTCTAGACTGGTTCGGTCTTAAGACTTAGAGCAGACCAATTTTTTTTTTGAGTTTAGACCGGTCTTAAGACTAACCGTGGTCTATTAGTCTAAGACCGGACCACATAACATCCCTAGTAATCAATAATTATACAACAAACGTGTGAATATCAACATTAAAGAAGACTTTAAATTGATTTTTAAAAAAATGCCAAAAACTTCGATACGTCTCATATGAATTTATCCAAAAAGATACTTCACTATAAACAAACTCATCTGGTTTGCTTTGTCAAATCTATGGTTCAATCTATACTAATACGAAGTGAAGAAAGTATAAAATATCTAAAGAAAACATTAATCTGGTCATGGTGAATGCACGCATATAAAGAACTCTAATTTATCTAATAGTATTGCCAAAATAGACAAGTAACTTTAAATGGTTCATTTATTAAGTAATAAGTACGTACAATAAATTAAAAAAATACTTTAATTCATAATAACGTGTGCTTCGCACTAAACCGTATATAACTTTATTATTATATAAGCATACATAAATAACGCCATTAGCGTTAGCAGTTTAATTTAATAAAGCTAAAATTAATACATATCGATATCGATATCAAATTTTAATTCTCTTAACCATATTTTTAAAACTACGTTTTCTTTTTTTTTTTTATACTTTATTAAACGATTTCGAATATTTTATAAATTTATTAAATACATGAATTGTAAACAACTATTTTATTAAAAAATTAATCTATATCAAAACAAAAAAACTATCTCTTTAAAAATACTAATTTTTTATGAAAAATTAAATAAAGTCGATTTAAATTTGTCGTTTCTGTAGAAATTCGTCGATCTTGATCGTCTTGAGTATTTCGTAGTTGCGTATAAACCCTATATTTATATTGGTAAAAAAATAAAAAATAAAAAAAAAAAAACGATAAATAAATTGCATTATAATTGAAAACCAAACAAAAACGTTCGCTTGATTTTATGCATCTGTTCACTACCCACATACTATTAATATCCGTTTTCCGTTTACCCGACCTTCATAAGGAGAAATTACCTTAATTGATCAGTGCTGCAAACAT